TATCCTGGATATACGTGTAAGAATTTTCTAAGAACAAAATCATCACACTGATGGAAGCATATATAATAGATGAAATACCAGTCATATATATCAATGTTTAGAAAGATAGAATACCTATTTGGACCATCTCTTTTGTTGAATGGAATGAACTTGATCTGTGTGTGTGGTGTGCATGATTCTGCCCCACTCATACGGTTTAACCCTATTATTTACATGTTAGAGAGGGAACCTAATATAGCCCTAATCAAGTCTGTCGGCCGAGTTAATCCATCACAAAATTTAGTCGGACTAATATTTGCATTATACTAACCTAATTAGACCCAGAATCAATATATGTCAAAAGCCTAATCACAATCAAATGAAGTACATCAAGTTCAGGCTAAGCCTGTGAAAAAAAAATACTCAAATTTAATTCATTTACTTAAACTTGCTAAATTTAAATCTAAAACTTGACATTTTGAAAATATGAAACCTAAACTTGTGTAGCTCATAATCCGGTTCAACATGATCGGACTAAACATATTGAGGTCGACCGCCATTTCATCAAAGAGAAACTTGATAGCGGGTTGATTATCACTCCATACATTCTCACTGGGCGTCAATTAGTTGATCTATTGACAAAGGGACTTCTTTCAGACAGATTTCAAGAACTTACTGGCAAGCTGGGAATGATAAATATCTATTCCTCAGCTTGAGGGGAAGTATTGTAAATATTAGGTTGTTTAGGTCTTTTATTATTATTTTTTGTATTGGGCCAAACCCATTAGGTCAAGAATTAGGTCTGTTCTTCTCTATAAATAGAGACCCCTTTGTATCAGATTATTTACACAATTATAATAATATTTTTCTTTTCTTAGAGCAATGGGTAAATCATCAGAAGCAGTAGTAATGGGTAAGTCGTCAGAAGTATTAACATCATGATCAGAAATATGAGATTCAGGACTTACCAGTGGTTCAAACGATTGAGGTTGATGTTGAGGTAAGGCGGGTTGTTTCCTTCTTTGATATACCAATTCAGGTGTCACAATTTTCCGTATCTCTGGTGTACTTGATGTATCAGTCACAGAAGGATCACTCACAGGAGGATCAGACATAGAAGGAACAGGAACAAAAGAAGGAGACACTGACACAGGTAAAGGAGTAGACACTGGAAATTCAGACTCAAAGAAGGAAGGTGATGAGTTTTCTGGTGAATTATTCTCCCCCTGAAGATGAGGACCTTGGAAAAAGGACTCAGATTCCTGAAATGTAACATCCATAGAAACAAAAAAGATTCGACTACCAGGGTGATAGCACTTGTAGCCCTTCTTATCAGGAACATAACCAAGGAAGACACATTTAATAGCCCTAGGGTCCAACTTACTGCGATGATATTTATGAACATGAACAAAAGCAACACACCAAAACACTCGTGGAGGAAGACTCATAGTTGGAATATAAGGAAAAAAAGAAGTTATAGAGTGAATAGGACTTACATGGTCAAGTACCCGAGTGGGTAAACGGTTGATCAAGAATGCTGCAGTAAGAATAGCATCTCCCCAATTGTATTTGGGTACATGTGTTTGAAACATTAATGCACGAGCCACTTCAAGAAGGTGACGATTTTTTCTTTCAGCAACCCCATTCTGTTGGGGGGTGTCAACACAAGTAAGTTCATGAATCATACCGTTATTTCGTATAAATTGGGAAAAACTTTGATTAACATATTCAGTACCATTATCTGTCCTTAGTCTCTTGATTTTTTTACCAAATTGGGTTTCAACCATTTTATAAAATTGAAAGAACAGTTGTGGTACCTCAGACTTTTCACGCATTAAGTAAACCCAAGTTACACGAGTGCAATCATCAATAAAAGAAACAAATCATTTATTTCCAGAAGAATGAGGGACCTTAGAAGGACCCCAAACATCAGAATGAATAAGATCAAAAGGTTCAACACTCTTAGTAATACTAGAAGGAAAAGTCACACGATGATGCTTAGCAAACTCACAAACATCACAATGAAAAGACTCAACAGACTTAGAAAAAAACAATGACGGAAATAAAGACTTGAGTAAACTAAACGGAGGATGTCCCAAGCGCATATGATGAAGCAAAATTAAAGAATCAGCAGTTGATTGACCATGAGACAACAAGATGTGATCTGTGACTTTATTTGCGGGAGATTGTGACATCAGATAGTACAGCCCAACTTGCTCTTTAGCACTACCAATCGTCTTCCCCGTGGCGAGATCCTGAAAAACACAATGGGTAGGAAAGAAGGTTACAGTACAATTCAAATCTTTTGTAATTTTGTGAATAGAAAGAAGATTCGTGGAGAGTTTAGGAACGTGAAGAGCATCTTTAAGATGTAAGGACTGCTGTAATTTATGTTACCAGAACCCGCAACTGATGTATGTGAGCCATCAGCTACGGCTATGGTATGAGTTCCAATGGTAGGATGATAAGAAGTAAAAGGGTCAGCATAACAAGCCATATGATCAGTAGCACCAGAATCAACAACCCAAGAATGTTTAAAATCAGTACATGAAGACAAAAAAGAATAAGTTTTGGAGCTCATACCAGTCATAGCCAAAGCATTAGTATCAGATGGCTTACTCAGAGAATCAAGGATGGTGCGGAGCCGTTCCAACTCATCTTGACGGAACGCAGGTTGGGTCTCATGAGGTGCAGAAGCTATTTCAGAGGAAGTAAAATGTGCTTGACCACACATCCTTGCCATCTTGTCTAAGACTGTTTGCTTTCCATGGAGGCGAAAGCATAGATCCTTGATATGACCCGTTCTTTTACAATAAGAACACCAGCGATCATCTTTCTTCGGTCTAGAAGATGAACCATCAAAAAATTTTCCAAAGGAGTTCCTTTGGGAAGAACCATCCTTTTTTGTTGAAATCATAGCAGACTCATCAGTGGGATTAGAGTCAGAAGGAGTTGAAGTAGTAACTTTAGATGAAAGCATAATGGACCCTTCAGACACTTTGGTATCCGTCATGACAGCCCTGCGACTTTCTTCACCCCTGACAATATGAAAAACTTCAGAAAGAGACGGTAATTTTTCCTTACCAAGAATTTGAACTCGAATAGGGTCGTATTCTGAGTTGAGACCACAAAGAAAATCATAGATCCTATGGCGTTCAATGGAGGCGGTCATAGTGGTTGCATCCTTGCTACATTCCATCTTCAAATTCTCGTACTGATCAAGCTCAGTCCATAATTTATTCATAATACCATAATATTCAGTTATAGAGAAAGAACCTTGCTTGGTAGAAAAGATCTGATTCCTCAGATCATAACAAGTGGCAGCATCTTGCTTCATTGAATAGGTTTGCTTAAGAACGCTCCATATCTCAAGAGCAGTAGGTAAAAACATGCAGTGTTGACTAACCTCAGGAGTCACAGAGTTCCATAGCCACCTCATAATAAGTGAGTCTTCATCATCCCAATCAGCAAATGTTGGATTTGTTTTGGCAGGAACAAGTCCTTCAATATGGGAAACTTTGCGGCGTCCTTTGAGAATGGTACGAAATACCTGAGACTATTGTAAATAATTCTTTCCATTCAGACGCTAATTCTGATGAAGAGCAGGAAGATCATTGTGACCATTAGGGGTCACCACAGACTGTGTAGAAGAATTTTTGTTTGTGTTTGCAATGGTTGATTCAGTTTCAGTGTCGGAGACCATACTGCACAAAACTAGTTAAAGAACAAGCTCTAAGAAGCCAAAAAAATCGGAAAAAATACCAAACGAAGTCCGATCAAAGAGGAGAGCACAGATCCAGAACGAGCTTGGAGAGTCGATCAGAACTGCAGTGGTCCGATCTCGAGAACCGTCGTCACGCGCTGGTGAAGCCACGCGCAGGGAGAAGGATGGCGCGTGGAGGTGTGTCTAACTTCCGATGACCTTGGGCTTTTCAGGGCGGCGGCGTCCGGCAAGCGCGGCTGGGTCTGTGCCTGGTCGGAGCAAAAAATACGCTAGAAAAGTGCCCAAACCGTGAGGAACAGGTTCTGACTTTGACGTTCGTTTGGTTGCTGTGTGGTCCGTTGATTGTTGTATATCCTTGCTGTATGAGAGGCAAAATAAGGAGGAGAAACAGTGATGAGTGATCTTCTCGGTCCAAGAGGTCCCCGGAAGAAAAAAAATCGGTGGCGGCTGATGGCAGCGAGAGACGAAAAAAAGGTTTCGTAGGCGCAGAAGCAGAGCCCTCAGGATCGAGAGCTCTGATACCAACTTGAAAAGGGTAATCAGAAAAATATTATTATAATTGTGTAAATAATCTGATACAAAGGAGTCTCTATTTATAGAGAAGAACAGACCTAATTGTTGACCTAATAGGCTTGGCCCAATACAACAAATAATAATAAAAGACCTAAAAAACCTAATATTTACAATAGCCTGTGAAAAAAAAAACTCAAATTTAATTCATTTACTTAAACTTGCTAAATTTAAATCTAAAACTTGACATTTTGAAAATATGAAACCTAAACTTGTGTAGCTTGATTATAGTATGATTAATATTTTTCCCTTAATCAAATATATTCTTCAAGTATTTTCAAGTTTATTAATTTAATGTTCAATAAAAAAAATTCTGTTAAAAGATGTAATAAAAATAAGAGAAAACCATTTACAAAAAAAAAAAAAAAAAAAAAAACAGAAAACAGATAGATAATTATGTGAACATTAAGTTAAGTACATTTTTTTTTTTTTGGAAATATTTAATTAGGTTAGGGGAAGACATACCTTTTTGCAATGTCAGGGAAAACCACCCAATTTCAATGAAATTACATATCACTTATCAAAAAAAAAAAAAAACACACAATTATCAAACTCAAACCACGACTAGCATAATTTAATACAATTTCTGAATACACAAAAAATTTATGTCACGCATAAAGACAAAATTGAGTTTGTTTGTTCATTTAACCAAACTAACTTGATTGAGCATTCATCGAGTCAAATTAGAATAATTCACAAATAAAAACTCTTTTACAATACCACACGTTTAGCTTACATTGCCTCGTTTACGTAATAATCCTGGTGGCATACCATTGAAATGGCAGAAAGAATAAATCTGAGTACAGTACAATTTTACGGACTAGGTGCTATTTAAAAACATTCGTACAGAATATCCAATGATTCTGAACTACATGGGAGAACAACTATTATAGTCTCAAATAATGCTTGGTGCACATCACCTCACGTTAAAGTGAGGTAGCAAACAAAGTGTGACAAGCTGTAATTAGATGGTGAAAATTTTGTAGATATGAGGCAAAGTATGTGTGCGTGCGAGTATGTTGCATTATTCTATGGTCTCAATGGGCCTCAAAAGAAATGTCTAAATTGGGAAGAACTAACTTATGCTCCCAACAAGTCAAGCATATCAGAAATTTTGCTTGTATAGTAGTGCGGCTGAATATTATTTGAAGGGTCATGTAGAGTTGATTGAGTTGTGACACCTGTTTGCATAACAAAATTAGTCTCAACATGTTATGAATGACTTCTGTTGTTAGGTTGGTCTACCATGCAGAGAAAGATAACCCTTTACCTGAAAACACTAGAAGAGTTTTGCAACCAGCATTTTGTCCAAACAATATATCAGTATCTAGTCTATCACCAACCATACACATCTTGGAGCAACTAACATTGAATCTGCTTAAAAGAGTGAGTTATATGCTGAGAAAAATATAAAGTAAAACACACAAGTCCCTGCTGACAAAACCAACAAATTAAACATTTAACTTTCTTACTTCTTAAGTAAAAACTCCATCATAAAGGTAGATGGTTTCCCAACTACAACAGGCTCCTTCTGAGTTGATCCACATATGGCAGCAACCATGCACCCAGCACCTGAAATCCAACTTTTATCCATTATGTCCATACAGTTAAATTGCAAACATTCTACACCGTTTAATAGAATAGAATAGAATTGAATAAAGGACCAGGCCATTCTTGCAAAGCAGTCATATGTCCAACTGCATCACGGTTGGTGGCAATGAAAAGGCATCCAGGATTTTCACGTATGCAAAGGGTTCCATACCTATTAGATGCAATTAGAAATATCAACATATGAAACAACTAAAAGCAAGCAATTACATAAAAGTGGACAGAATTCTCGACACAGGATACAGCTGTTTTAGCTTCAGCAGAATTTAAGAGGATGCTGACATATATAAGTCCATGATTTAGATTTATTCTTACCCACCTGTTTTGTAATAAATGAAAAAAAAAAAAAAAAAAACCTATTCATTTAGAGCATCCCAAAATTAATATGCAGTGTCTATTTTTAACTTTCTAAGTCGCTCACTTTAAGAAAAGTTCTTCTGTTTTGGATTAATTTAACTATCGGAAAAACTATAATATATCATTAATGTTCTCAAAGCAAAGTAATTTGTTCATTGCATCATTCTTGTAGAATTATGAACTTCTTACAAAAGCCTACGAATCTATCCATAGAATCCTTTATCCTAAACAAAATTTTTTAAGAAGCTTTAAAACTTTTATGGATTAATGAGGCCAAACTAGGATCATTAGAAGATCAGGTTAACCCAGCTTGTTCAAAAAAAAATGCAATATGGATACTTCAGGTCATACTAGCAACTGGAATATAGTTCTGATATGCTAATACTCTCTTGGAATTCCATATATTTATAAGTCACAAGGGTCCTGAACTCAAAATTTGGAGACGCAACTCAGGAGCAACATAAAGCAGAAGGTAAAGTGCTCAAAAAACGAACAAGGGAAAAGATTTTCTTACTGAAGCTTGTAATAGTTAATGTATGGATCTAAGCCAACCACTACAGCTCCAACCTGCGAGAGTGAAAACATCAGTTAACCGCAGGCGCTGATCTCAATGAAGATACTCAAAAGTAACAATGGGCAAGGTGTTACATTACACTCTTATCATGTTCAACAATGCAGTTCTGCTTCAGGTCCACTGTTTTATTCGCATCTCCCTGCAATTATTGAATGCTTTGGTGAGGATAACTCCAGTGGCAATGTTGTGATTCTCGTCCCTGAGTCTATGTGATACCAACCTTGGGAGAACCTCATCCCAAAAGCTAGCTTAAGAGGTAGGAAAGCCCAAAGTCCATATAAACCCCACATTAGTCACCCATATAACCAATGTGAGACTCAAGTCTCATACCTTGCAATCAGATCGTAACACTATGTCTAGTTTGAAGCAAGCATTGCCACTAAGAAAAATGTAGCCTAATAGACTTGAATGTGATCACTTGAGTCAAAATGTTAGTGTAAGTGTTTCCTTTCTAACAAAACAAGTACAAGTACATATTGTTTACACCCAATTAGTTCGGAGTCAAGCAAGGTGAATAATCATCCAAACAACAACAAAATTACAAGCAAAAGATAACTCGAAATGAAAAACTAATCTAGTAGAAGAACAGTTTATGCATCCTAAATAGCAGAGGACAGTATGAACATCCATTTCAACAAGGAAGAAAGAAAAGGAGGGAGAAGGGCTATTATTCATAAATATGCAGAACTTACAGGACCACCAAAAGCAGTGAAACCAGCAAGCTGAACCTCTTCCAATATACCTTCCCCGCCAATTACATACACCTGAACAATGAGCAGAACCCTATCAAGCAACTAACTATCCCAAAAGCTTAAAGCTGTTGGAAGGGATTGAAACATGGATAATTTATACAAGTCCACCACACCAAGTCATGGCATTTAACATTCTCAACTAACAAGTAACTACTAATAAATAGTTGGTAACAGAGGAAATGAAACAAGTGAGGAACCTTGTTTTGTGAAGGAAAATTGTTGACCTTCAAGTACATAGCAGCTGCAAAAGACGAGGAGAATATCTCATCCTGCAAAACATAAAAAGGAAAAAAAATGATTACTACAAATTCAAGTTGAAATTGAAAGAGAAGTAAAAAAACGTGCCTGGGAAACCGGGATTCCTAAAGATCGGAACTTTTCAGCGTATTGGGTTCTGGACTTCCAGGAATTGTTGGTGACAAACACAAGCTTCTTCCCCTTTGAGCGAAGCATGTCCAGAGTTTGTGAAACACCATCGATAAGCGTATCACCCTTCCAAATCACACCTAACCAATGACCATCATCATGGTTCAATTCCGAAACAGAGAGAGAAAGAGAGAGAGAGAGAGAGAGAGAGTGATGCAGAAATTGAAAGGTTGGAATGTACCATCGCAGTCAAAGAGAAAAGCTTCGACCGAATCGAATAGATCTCTGAAATTTTGAGGTGACAGAGGCTGCGAACTCATCGATACAAACTCAAACAGTGTTAGCCTTTGCTTCTGCTGTGGCCTCGTGGGAACACCAACAACCACCAAGCATAATATTCGTACGTTGTTTCCATTATGTAGGGGCGTGTTGGTTTAAGATTTTTAAGGATTTTTTTTTATAAAAAAAAAAAAAAAAAAAAAAAATCATTGGGATTTAGTAGATGAATTTCCAATTGAATTATATCTTCGTCTTCAATATCATGAGTTAATGAAGAAACTAATTTTTAACTAATTTCCCAAACCTAAGAATAGAAATGAGAAGATGTTAATGCGTCGCATTAGCATAACTTCATATACGTGGAAAGATGATATTTAAGAGTTCATGAAGTTATGTCAAATTTCTACGAGATTGATGAACATCTTCCAAGTATTATGAAATATATATTTTGATGATGAGAATGAATTTACAAAATGTCTCAAATTGAAGATTGAAAACACAAGTGATTAGGTTTTTAGAATTTTGTTACATATAATATTAGGGGAAGGATATTGTGACAACCAAGTTGTGTTACTACCATGTGACTACCAATTAATCTCACCGTTAGATCGATTATGTGGATCCAACGGTTATATTTATTTCCATCTTTGTATGGTCATGGTTTTCCAAATTTAATACTTTATATTTATTTTCACCTTTGTACGGTTATATTTATTTCCATCTTTGTACGGTCATGATTCCCCATATTTAAAGTGAAAGCATTAAATATGAGAAATCATAACCATACAAAGGTGAAAATAAATACAAAGTATTAAATTTGGGAAATCATGATCATACAAAGATGGAAATAAATATAACCGTTGAATCAATATAATTGATCTAACGGTGAGATTAATTGGTAGTCACTTGGTAGTAATACACCTTAGTTGTCATAATATCCTTCCCCCATAATATTATGTCATATAATATGTAACGCCTGGCAACTTGCAAGGATCAACGACTGTCCCCACACACTAACACGAGACTTTTCAGCGTGCTTTGTCCTCACTCGCACACTTCCCGGGAAAAATTCCCAGAATGGTCACCCATCCCTGAATTGCTCCAAGTCAAGCACGCTTAACTGTGGAGTTCTTCAGATCCGAGCTACTGAAAAGTAGATGCATCTTGTTAGTATAGGTAGTACCAATTAATTCTTATAAGTCATTCTCAACTATACCGTCCCATACCAGCACAGTCTCTGGAATCCCTCTCTTTCGGGTGTTGATTCGATTCATTCATGTACCCCCGTCCCTAGAAGCCTGCCAGGAGCCGCTCCTTGTCCGTGCCCTTGCGCACCGGCGATCACTCCCCGCCCTCGTCAGCGCCCGGGATGTTACATGCCCACCAGCTTCCGCCTGGTTCGTCCTTGAACCACACCGTACTGGATGAGAGGCCCTGCTCTGATACCACTTGTAACGCCTGGCAACTTGCAAGGATCAACGACTGTCCCCACACACTAACACGAGACTTTTCAGCGTGCTTTGTCCTCACTCGCACACTTCCCGGGAAAACTTCCCAGAATGGTCACCCATCCCTGAATTGCTCCAAGTCAAGCACGCTTAACTGTGAAGTTCTTCCGATCCGAGCTACCGAAAAGTAGATGCATCTTGTTAGTATAGGTAGTACCAATTAATTCTTATAAGCCATTCCTAACTGTACCGTCCCATACCAGCACAGTCTCTGGAATCCCTCTCTTTCGGGTGTTGATTCGATTCATTCATGTACCCCCGTCCCTAGAAGCCGCTCCTTGTCCGTGCCCTTGCGCACCGACGATCACTCCCCGCCCTCGTCAGCGCCCAGGATGTTACATAATATCTCCCTAAGTTCTAATGCATATCATGCTAATTTCATAATAATTAATATATTTTTTTAAATATTTTTTTAAAAAAATGAAAAACTAAATCATTAAAAATTAGTTTTAATAAATATATGGCTTTTTCAATTTGAAAGTTCAGCATATGAATTTCCATTATATCACGTGGGTTCTGTTGAATAGAATATGGGGTTTGTATTTGTCATTTAACATGACACAACAAACTTTCTTACACACAATATTTTGTAGGGCCCACACTTTTTGAAGAAAAAAGAAAAAGAAAAAATTGCGACACGCAAAACGAATCTCTATAACATTACACAATCATTTTTCCTACAACATAACTCTTATAAAATCCATAAAATATATAAGTAATAAAAAGCTAAATCATTAAAAATTAGTTTTAATAAATATATGACTTTTTCAATTTTAAAGTTCAGCATATGAATTTCCATTATATCACGTGGGTTCTGTTGAATAGAATATATAAGTAATAAAAAGTTATATAAAAAGGAAGGGTAAAGTATTTCTCCAATCAATGGAGGGAAATATCTACAATATTACAGATACACCCTCTTTTCTATACATCCTTCTAATCAAAACCAAACAACAAATACCAATTCTTACATGAAATAGAGAAAAGTGGGGTCTCAAATACATGTGTTAGATTTTAAATGGAAGTAATATGTACTACTTATGCACAAAAGATGAGCTCTCAATGGAGATAAGTTATCTCCAGTGAACCCAAAATAACATCGTTTTACTTTTGGGACGAAAATCAAAGTATTTTTGTAATTCTAATATATTACAGGGTTATATTAGTTTTTATTATTATAATTTTTTAATCTTATAATTTCAAAACGACGTTGTTTTGAGCTCACTGGAGATAATTTTATCTTCAGTGACCGAAGAAATACTTTTCAAAAAAACCAAATACATAATATAATAAATCATTTGTAAAGCAATTCAAAGAAAACCAGCATGTCACGTGGATGGTTTCTTTGGTGAAACAATATAAAAGTAATAAAAATAAAAAAAAAGGCTTAACTTTACTTTACCAATCCTTTGCATATCACTTTCAAAAAAAGAAGAAGAAAAAGACGCTGATATTTATTTTTTTAGAATTTCAAGAGAGCTGAACACAAAAAACAAATTAAGTTTTCATTTTCATTGAAATCTTTATTTCTTCTATTAATCGACTTCTTCATCTTTTTCGCTTGAAGTTCTGCACTTTGTTTTAAAAGTTGAGTTCATCCTTCTTGCTATTAGATATTAGGTATAAGGGTAGTTTAGTATTTTAATGATATTTTAAATCTCTCTCTTTTCTGTTCTGCTCTTCATTGGCGCCAAGCGTGAGGGAATGTTAAACGTTTGGTAATTTCTCCTCCTGCCAAAATAAAAGATCCCATTGAAGCGGCTAATCCCATGCATATTGTCTGTACATCTGGTTGTACAAATTGCATAGTATCAAAAATAGCTATTTCGGGTATTACCCATCCGCCCGAAGAATTTATAAACAGGTACAAATCTTTGTTATCGTCCTCTATACTGAGATAGATTATAAGGCCAATAATTTGATTCGATGTAAATAAACGAATTTTTTTTCTTCGTTTCTGAGCTATATAACCTCGTTTAATTCTTGTCATTGAATCAATAAAACTTTGATGAGTAACTTTTTTTCGTTCAGTTATTCTTTTCTGCTTCCTAGTCTATTAATAACGAAAATGGATTCTTCCAATGTATAAAATATAAATTCCAACGGCTTTTGCTACTATAACCTTCCCAACCACTTTTTTTTTTAATTCTAAGCAATTAACCCCAAAATAAGAAATTGTATGGATGCAGGGTATAAAAAAAGAGTAAATGAAATAGAAATGGTCGGTTCCTTCGTTTTTATGATTCCTTTTTAAACGGAGAAGTATTTTCAGATTATATCACTCAAAATTCCTAAAGCATATGAAGTAATAGATCTAAAAACTTCCAATTAAATGCTTCAAATCAAATATTCACAAAAGATTTGAGTTTATTGAGTGTATCGTAAAAAAGCCCAGTGGGTTCTGAGTGAGTTATTTCAGCTACACGCTTTCTTTCCTTCGATTCAAAATGAAAAATCAAGCATAGACTAAAATTATTTTTTTTTTCAAAAATAAATTATGAGACAAAAAGCAAATTAGAACACACAGGAGAATAGTAAGACGATAATACTCGAAGAGTACTAAGAATAAAAAAAGGGTGTATTATCATACATATGCTTCTTGCAGAAATAGAAAGCGAAATCCATCCATTTATTTCATTCTACATTCCTTATATTATTGATTATTTGATTCTATTTATACTCTTGATTCTTTTCTTAATCTTTTTTTTTATTATACTTAGTATAATTATTCAATTTTACTAAGTATAAGTATATATGAATTCGATTGATTATAGATTATAGACTATCTTTATAAAAAACAGGAATAATCCAAAAATTAATAGAAAAAAAAACAGGTACAAATATTAAATTGAGGTCCCCTTTCTATGATAAACCTACCCTCCATTTTGGTGGATGTTCAAAAAAACAAGATTTTTTAGATACGGATAGTGGAGACAAATCTCGTATTTTTTTTTTTTAGATCTGGAAGCAGTTCGATGATTTAAAAAACTGATCCTTGTTTACCAATGACACATTGTCTAACCAAATCCAATTCTCTCTCGATATGTTCCTAAAAAAATCCGATTCATGCAGATTCTCCCCCCAACTAACGAAGAGATCTTGGCGGAATTGCCACATATGAAATTGAGCACAATTTTGCAAAGAAATAGCCCGCTTGTTTCTCAAGAAGAGATGGGAAATATGCTCAATGGTATTTGATTGAATAGTTGACCCAGCCTCTTGTTGTTTGACGAAACCCTCCACTTCAATTGGTATTTTTTCACGAAAAGCAAACATGAGATAATAAATCCAGTCCCAATAAAAAAAATGGAATAAGAAAAAAAACATAGAGAAAAGAGCATGTTGATTATATGGAAAGTCAAGGGCAACCATAATTTTTGTTTATCATGGGTAAGGATATCATCGCTGACATAATAACCTCTATACGAAATGCTGACATGAATAAAAAATGAACAGTTCAAATACCATTTACTAACATTAACGAAAACACTGTGAAAATACTTTTACGGAAGGGTTTTGTTGAAAACGTCAGAAAACATAGGGAAAGCAACAAATATTTTTTAGTTTTAACTCTACGATATAGAAGAAATAGGAAATGGTCATATAA